CCCTTGAAGCAATTCTTACATATTAATGCATACAACTGTAAAGTTACATATGGTTTACTATTCCTATGTATTTAACCCTCTCTGCCCTGGCATCATTTACTGTGGATGTCACAAGGTTTTAGTGACTTACATTCAAAATTTAATTAAACTACTTTTTGTTTATATTATGCCAATTAGTATAGCATAAAATTGTAGCTAATAATCCATATTTTAATAGTATATAAATTTTAAGTTCTCAATAGTATAAGGCAATATTTATAAAAAAAAAATGAATTTTCCCTGGTGTGAAAAATGTGACATATTTTCTCTAGGCAATCCCCTCTTCTCTATTCTATTCACCACACCTCCAACAAGTATGAAATTTAACAAAATTACTTACTATATAATTGCCATTGCTCAGACAAACCATAATTTGTATTGCCTTCAACTATGTTTGGTTACAGAGCCATCAAATATAAAATCAGACCCCTATTGCCACACTCACCTGTCTCTATTTCAGGACTTGTTAATAGTTCTCTCTTACTCTTAATACTATATTATGTGTAACTAATAGAAAGCCAAGATTTTCATCTATCAAATGACTTGTTATATTATGTTGATTTGTGACCAGAAAATTGTCATTTTCTCTGTTAGGACATGCTTTGTTCTCACAGGAAAGATAACGACTAGTTTGGATGAATTTGTAATGGCTCTTGTAACAAAGTTAGAAAGTCAGAGAAATTGTGATAGTTCGGAGAAGTAGTCTGCTTTTTGCATGTTATTATTCTATGTTCTTTGGCACATTGTTTAATTAATTAAAAATTATTTTTTGCATTACTACCATTAGTATAAAAAAGTAGGGTTAAGTGTCATCAACAGCAAAAAAAAGAAGACTCTGATAAGTACTTTGTTTCTTTTTTTTTATGATTATTCTTTATTTATTATAAAGTAACTATGATATAATAAAAGGGATCTCTTTAGGTTAGTTAAGGTTAAATTAGGTAAAATAAATAATAATAAAAATGTTTCACGAGGCATGCAAGCGAGAGGAGTAGCTTGTGGGTAACGTATTTCGATAGCAAAAACGTGAGCTCTACTTTCCCCAAGTGATTTACAACTTATAATGGCATGAATAGTAGTAGTTAGACATGGTTAAAAGGGCAATAAAACAATAAAATTTAAGTATAAATAGATGTAGAGTGTTAGGAGTTTAAAGCAACTTAGGATAAATGAATGTAGTTTCATGTTACAATTTGAAGTGATTCTAGAAAGAGAAAAAGGGTAATTTAGATTTATTTTGATTTTTTTGGTGGTTATGAGGTCAGTCAAATTGACAAACCTTGTATAGAGCTAACATAGAGAAAATAACAGATAAAACAAAGTTTCACTGAAAACAAACATTTGAAATATATTTAGGAGGTGTTAGAGATTACACAAATGAAATTTGAGAGTTTTGAGATGAAGAAAAACATGAAAATCACTGCATGTGGACTAGTAGAAAAAAATATTCTATATTCACAGACACGTCATTTTTTAGTTTATTAAGAAATACTTCATTAAAATATATGATTTTTTGTATGTGAAAGACTTATAATGTTTACTAAAAGTCTGTCACATTTTGTGAAGATGTACTTATATTAAAATTAGTATTAAAACTATAAAGACTAAACAAGTACAAAGAAGTTATGTGGTCAGTTAATTTGACCAACCCCATGTTTAGAGAGTAAATGTATACCAATAGAAAGTTACAACAGTTAGCTATTCATGCGTGTTAACACATACCAGTAGAAAGTTACACATAGTTAACTATTCCTGCATATTAATGCATACAACTATAAAGTTACATTTAATTAGCTTTTTCTACATATGGGAAGGTTAAAGTGTATGTGTTGTGACATATTTCTATTGTATATGAATAAACTTGGCATCAATATGTAGCTAATAAATCAAATTTTAATATTATATAACATTTAATCTCTTAATTTTATAAGGAAAAATTTATAAAATCCCCAGTCTCCCCTAGTATAAGAACTGTGATATTTGTTCTCTAGGTTTTCCCTCCTTGCTTATTTATTTACCACCCCTCCAAGAAGTATGGAATTTAGCATAAATTACTTATTATAATATAGATATTACTAAGGCAAAGCATAATTTTTATAGCCTTCAGTTTTATTTCTTTATGAAGTCATAAACTAGAAAATCAGACCCGCTTGCCATGTCCATGTGTTACATCCACTATCTCACAAATTGCCATAGTCTTGTACTATATTATTTATAACCAATAGGAAGTCAAGGTTTTAATCTGTTAAGTGATGTATCATGTTACATTGTTTTCTGTTGCGAGTATTGTCTATTTCACCTTCAGTTTGAAAGTTTCTCTCACAGTGTTAAGATCAACAAGCTTAGCTAAATTTTTAAAGGTTCTTTTGCCATAATTAAAAGACAGGTAAATTATGATAGTTAAAGGACATTGTATACTTTGTGCATGTTATTATTCTGTGTTCATAGGTGCATTATATGGCAGAATTATTAGTTAGAAATGGCAATAAAACAACAGAATTAAGTATGAAGAGATGTATACTGTTAAAGCTTTAAGCAATTTAAGATAAATGATTGTAGTTTCATGTTACAATTTTCAGTCATTCTATAAAAATAAAAAGGGTAATTTAGATTTAATTCATATTTTTTATGGTGGTTATAAGGTCAGTCAAATCGATGGAATACATGTAGAGTTGAGGTTGAGAAAATTACAGATAAAACAAAGTTTTACTAAAAAACGTTTGATATTTATTTAGGAAGTTAGAGATTACACAAATGAAATTTGATAATTTTCAGATGAAGAAAATTATTTTTAATCTTAATATTACAATCACTTTGCAGTCAAAGCAATCAACACTCTGACTCCATGTATTCACAGACAAAGTTTTAGTAAAAATACTCAATTAAAACATCAGGTTTTTTGTGAACATAAACAAAACATATTGAAAGTTATAATAAAACTCTGATGGTTACTTAAGGGCTACACAGTCAGTCACATTGATTGAGCTTGTAGCAAGAGGGTTAATGCATACCAATATAAAGTTGCATATAGTTAACTATTCATGTGTGTATACCAGTAAAAAATTACAATAATTAGTTTTTCCTACATATTAATGCTATTTCACCTTGAAGAAAATATTGTTTGAATGATGTAAATATTTTTGTAATGAAGTGATTTCATATTCTGCATATGTAACAACACTTTATTTCATAAAATTATGTATCAGCATTTAGGTTATTAATGTATTTGTTACACATATCATTCTTTTTTTTTTGTTGTATCTTGAACAGTCCAGACTGTTTCTAAGTCTTTAGCAAAAGAAAAATATAGTGGGTTTTTTTTGTTCTTGTTTTTAAGATAATTCCATCATTCAATTCTTCCTAATAAAGAAATACAAATTTACACATCTTTTTCTGCTGTTAAACCCTTGCTTGACTTGCTGACTCTTGCACTTACATGATTCAAAATTTACAATTTGTTTCAAAGAGTTACAGTGTCTTCTCATTTTACAGCTAATCATTGTACAAACCTTAAGAGCAAGAAAAGTTTTCAAAATATGATATGAAATAAGATGCATTAGAAGTTAATAGTTTTGTAACTTAGCTGGCAATATGTTATAATAAGGAGCAAACCTTTGCTTACAGTTTTCTCACTATTTCTGTGAGTTACTGTAGTTAATGAAATGTTGCAAAAAAAACTGCAATGAAAATTCCACTACATTATAGAGATTGAAAACTTGTAATTTATTTATAGGCTAGCTGAGATACCAGTCCTTTGTCTGGATTATGAACTTAAAAAACATTGGGGGAATCTATGATAAATAACATAAAAATCCTAAAGTTCACACAATTTATTTATAACATAATGTATTATTAAGGTATTCATTATTATCTACTAAAAGTTTTGTATAGGCTTTAAGAACTTAATATGTATATACTTAGAACATGTTATACACTATGCAATGATCAGGGTGATTTTGTAGGAAGAGGTAAACGGCCAAAGTAGTGGCAGTAAGAGGGGGGGCTTTCTGTTACCTGCTTTCAACACCCACCTCTTAATGTCCTTCTACAGTGTTTCACATGATTAATTAATTGGCCGCAGAAGTGTCATATGAGCCAAAGTTGAAAGATCACAGGACAAAGTAGGAAATGGTTATAACTCAAGAAATGGCTCCTCATATCAGCCTTATGGTGGCTGTTGGAGTAGAAACTTCAGCTGAGTTTATGTAGTATTGCAATAGTAGTAGCCATTTTTTTCATTGCTTTCTTCCATAGAGAGTTCTAGGACACTCTTTGAGATATAAGATGTTTTTGTGGTATCCCCAACATATTGTGTATGTTGTTTTATAGAAAAGTTTATAATTTTTATTTTTTCTGATGTAAAGATGTGATGCTGTCTATGAATATAGTTAATGTTAACTTGCATCAAAGATAATAAATGCTCAATAACAGCCCCATTAACGTGCCCCTTGTTCCAAACTATCATCCCACAAAGGTTGAGGTTGGCCCAGCGACCTAAGAGTAGTTAGATAACAGATGGACAGACAAGCAGACGGACAAATGTTTTTTGTGATTTATGTATATATATAGATAATCACATAAACTTTAGGATTTTATTAAGGATCACAGGAGCCATGATTTGTTTAAAAATAGAAAAAAGGCTGAGGCAATATGGTGTTGTGTCACTGCAAAGTGCATAGCTAGTTAGTCTTAGCATCTGTCTTTCAATTACTAGATTGTTCAGTCAAAAAAAGAAATGTTTATAGTATAATGTACTATCATGTTAAAGTTTAAAGATGGCAGGTAATGAAGAAAACTTTATGATGACAAAACGTTATACATTTGTGATTACATTCAACTTGCATGAAGCTTTCTGTATTAACCATTTAAACCATATTCAAACTTTATTGTCTATTTCCTTGTCATCAAATTTGATTTCATCACTACTTTCATGTTGCTGGGTGAAGAAAAAAAATGAAAGGTTGATGTGACTTGCATTGGTGACCAAATCTAAATTATTTTGTTTTTTACTGCAAAATTAACAACAGACTTGAGTTATCATCATGTCTAATACCAACTTGTAATCTTTATTAGACTTTTTAGCTCTAAAGAGTAAAGATTAGTAAATGATTGAGGTGATTTTACATAATACTGTCATTTTAAAATGATTTTTATAACATCATTGAAAGTGTTGTAATTAGGTACAGTATTACTAAAATAATTTTTGTTTAAAACATGTTGGCATAGGTCTCATTCAATGCCATTTGCAAGTACGGTGGGCCCTGTACGATATGACAAGTTAGAACCACAAGAAGTAAAAGACTTGCTCCTGTGCTTTTTGTATATTATGAAACATCTAAATGAAGGTAAAAGTATCATGTTTTGCTTATGTACTAAAATATATGCAATAACTTTATTGTATAATATTGAAACTAAGGCATTTGTCTTGTAGTTCTTTTTATTATAAAACTTTTATCCATTTTTATGTTAATTAATAACTGAAAGGTATGTACATTTCCTAATATTTGTATTATTTAATCCATGTACATTAGACACAAAATACTATAGTTGATTCATTTTAAAACTACTGTCAAACTTCTTTTATAATTCAATAACATAGTAGAACCATTTACAGATCTACCTTTTGTTTTTAAATAGATGTAAAGCTTATGATGGCTGTTGTTCATTTATAATGTGAGGTGGTCTAGTGGTTAACTTGCCAGACTGTGAATCTGAAGGTTCATGTATTGTTGCCATAAAATCATTCTTTTCACTTTGGTGCCAAAGATATGATATAAACAGTGACAGTCAAATCCCACTATTTGATTAAAATTGCTCAAAAGTTGCCTTCTTTGTATACTGTCAGCTCAAAATCAAAAATGAATAGTTCAGATAGGTTTTGTGTAGCTTATATGTCTTTTCTCTTGTGACTGATTAAGAAAATTGTAGATGTTATTAAAAGTTAATATTTCAACCATACAAGTTGAAATAGCTGTTTGTTTTTTCCATAAAATTTACCTTCACGACACACTTTATTATTATTCTTAGAAGGAAGAACCCCCCCCCCCCCCCCAACGGATCAGTGATTTATGTCTGAAATCTTATTAAAAAATTTATTTCCTAAAATTGAATGTATATCAATTGAAATATATTTTGGGATACAGCTTTTCATGTACATGGAATCTCTTTTTTTTCAAAACAAATAATGTTGGTAGGTTTTGAGGGCCTGCAAAAAAAAAAATTAAAGGGATCTTTGATTACAAAAGTTTGAAAACTGTTGTTCTAGTGATTAACTTACAAACCAATATAGGTTTGAGTTGTAATGCAGTGTATTAGTAAGATAGATAACTGCATTCGTATTTTCACATTTCATTCATCGAAATACCTTCAGTGTAGTAGCCTAGTCGTATATAGTTTCAGAAATATTTCATACTGACATGAATACTTAAAATCATTATTATTAGGAAAAGGCCCACATTTTGTTATTTAAATTGCTAAATTAACATATGCATAACACCATAGTTGTAATAATTGCTTTTGTTTTATCAGAGCTTCTTATTGGTTGGTGGCAACACTGTACCCAAGAAAGTACTCTGGATTTCTTTCACATTCTTGAGTAAGTTTGTATTTTTTCTATATCATGATTACATTTATTGTTGAATTAAATGTAAATTATGAAACCTAGTTAAGAGGATACTTGGTTCTCGTGTGATAACTTTTAGACAAAAACATAAGTACATAACATTCTTTTGTTTGTGTTGTGTTTTCAATATGAGATCTTAAAACTATAGTGATTAAGAGGCAAGATATTTTTTCTGTTCTGTCATGTGAAAAAATATAAAACATAATTTTTCTTCACAATGATTTATATTTAAAATATTTTTTAGTCTATCGTTTAAAGATTGACAAATGGACATTTATTGAGCATATACACTAAGTTCAAGATTGCTCGAACAGTTGTAATCTTTAAGATGTATTGCTATGTAATGCAAAAGAATTGCTTCATGCATAAATGGAAAATTTTTCATTTCTGAGCACTTTACCCTTTTCTTTTGCCATCAGTAATGTAGGTGGGCTCATAAAAGATGCAGTAGTTTAAATATTATCTGTACCTAATCAATTTATTATTTAATGAGAAAAGAAGCATCTTTTTTTTTTAAATATTCTTGTCTCTTGAACAATGTTGCTTATTATTTATTTATCTGGTTATCTTTCTGAGCATCACATTTTATAGTTATGTTAGAACTTGATAGTGTTATTTTGAGTTTTTTCTTTCAACTGTTTTTCTAGACTTACATATGTAATTTGATAAAATATCTAATGTACGGTGCTGCTAGATTGTAATTACTGAACAAATGTGAAAGTGGCTAAAATAATAATTATATAATGTCCTGAATTTTGTGTTTAAAACCTAAAAGCAAAAAAACTAAATAAAATTATACTAGCTTAGTATGCATTAAAAATATAGTTTCCTCTGTGTTTTAGTTAAAATAATTTTGTTTAGCTGCTGTGTATTTTAGACTTAAAGCCCATGTTTACTAACCTTGATCATATTTTACTGAAATGTTGTGTTATGATATTAACCATGTTGTACTGCTCACTTTATTATGTAAAATATATGAATCAGTGAAATTACTACTACAATCATCTGTTATTGTCAGCAAAGATGTTATCAAATTCTGAATTTATATTTTGGAAGTTGAAAGCCAAAAATAACCTTCAGTAAGTGGTTTTTAAATGCAGTGATTTGTGAAGAACCACAAGAAGTTTAAAACCCCTAAACACCTAGAAGTAAATGATTTTGCCCTTTTTGAGCTTCTGGAACTTAGAATTTTTCAACTACCTTGGAAGCTGTACCTCTAAAGTACACATAAAATAACACAGATAATTTGGATATAAGATTAAAGGTAAATACCACTTGAGGTTAGAATACTATATATTTTTATTTTTCACAGGCTTTGTCTTCATCACTACAAATATGCTGGTAGGAAAATCATAGAGAACAGGTGAGGTCTTGGTTGTATTATATTATATTGAAAGAAACTGGGGTTTCATGAAAACTGCTAAGTCATATAAATGAATACCTGTAAAGTACTGTTATAATTTGTACTTATTTTCCTGTTTCAGATGAAAAGTTTTGTTTTTAACAGTTCTATAACATGTGCTTTGTCTATGCTATGAAGTTAATGTTGAGTTACAGTAAAGCAGTTTTCCTGTATGTATTTAAAATAAGGTATAATTCTAAATAGTGGAAAGACAAAAAGGAAAATAAATACAATGATAATAATATAAGTGATGTACAATACTGGGAAAAAAAATCAACTTCTATCTGGAAGTAAAGTATCCAAGAATTAAATGAGTTGTTTCTTACATTGCTAGAATTTACTTTTGATATTTCATAAAAAAATTTTGAACTGGGCTAGATACAGATACATCACATAATATATATTTTTATTAGCAGTAACTGCTTTTATTTTTGGGAATTTTAGTGAATCCATTTTGATCAGATAAAAGTTGCAATGGATTATTTTTATGAAAGTACAACATTTGATCATAACCCTAGTAACACCAAGACTCACACTTATACATTGAATCATACCACATGATTAAAACAAAGGTTTACTTGAACAAATATATTTAAGTATGACACCAGTAATAACAACTTTTAAATACATGTTTATAAATTTAGTGAAATTAATTTGTAATTTCAAATGTTTTATATTCCATGTGTAAGGACTTCTAAATTAAGCAGGAATTTGTAGATAATGGTTGAAGTAGTGTTACATTAACCATAGTAGAATACATAATGAAGATCTTTGTTTGTAATATAAATCTATAACATAAGATTCACAATTCAAATTTTCTTCATTCAGATTTGTTAATTAATTTTAAAATGAATCTTACATGGAGTAAAATGTGTTTGTTCAATCAGAAGACAAATCTCTGGTCCCCCTGCTAAAGCCATGACACTACCAGCCAGAACAGTTCCTCCATCATTTTCTGCAAGATGTAACAGCTCCTGTAGTGAAACTCTTCCAATGTGTAAGAGAGATTTGCTTCTCCTTTTTTATATATGTAGAATTTTTTACACCCTTGCTGACAGTTGAAACCTTATCAGCAGGCTACTATCTCAGTATTTAGATATTGAACATTAATAAAATGTAGTAAGTACTTTTCTAGATCAGCACCATAGTATATATATATATATATATATCCAAACTGACTGAGAGAGAGAGAGTGAAGTATGAGATATGAAATTCATTGCAAGGACTAATATATTTTGTCATGATTCATAATCAATTTGTTAACTTGACCATTCAACCAAATAATTTGATGATGTTCTTGGTACTCTTTAATTTTTGGCCTAAATTTTTATGTTTAGAAAGTAATTAAATTTGCAAAATAAAACTTGTAATTATTCTAAGTAACCCTCTCAGGTCAGTCAAAGTGTGCATGTCACAACCATTTACAGAGTGACGATAAAAACATAATTAACTATTTATTATCAATGTATACAAATAAACTTGGTATCAAAACATAGTTAACAAATTAAAATTTAATACAAGTTTTAAGTTCTAGTATGAGAATTGCAACATTTGTTCTTTTGGTCTTCCCTCTTTAATTTATTTACCACCCTTCTTTGATTATAATATAGATATTACTAAGGCAAAGTCTTAATTCTTATAGCTTTCAATCTTATTTGTTTACAGACTCATAAACTAGAAAGTCAGACCTACTTGCCACACCCACCTGTCACATTCTGTCTTTCACAAATTGCCAATAATTCTTTCTGATGTCTTATATCATTTCTAACCAATAGAAAAGCAAAGTTTTAATCGATTGAATGACATATAATGTTATATTGTTTTCAGTACAGAGTGTTGTCAGTATCATCTTCAGTTTAAGCGTTTATCTCCTGGTGTTCAGATCGAGCAACAGAGGGAATTAATTTAAGCTTCTCTTGTCTTGTTAGAAAGCCAGTTAAATCATAACAGTTATAAGATATAAGACACTGTTTGTTTTGTATTTGTTATTATTCTGTGTTTTTAGAAAATCAAGAGGTCAAAGCTAAATTCTTTGTTTTTTGTTTTTCATGTATGTTATTTATTTATGGTTATAAAAGTAACAAAATGTAAAAATGAGAAACCTGTTACACTAGATTGGGTAAGATAATGATTAGGTAAGGTACTCTTGGAAGGAGTTTGTGCATTACATCATTCAGTACAGTAACATGAGCTATGTATTTGCCGAGTGATTTACAACTTGCATGGTGGAATAGTTAGCTGTACACAGTTCAAAGGGGAATAAAACTATAAAATTAAATATAAACAGACGTCAACTGTTATAAGCCTTAAGCTATTTAAGATAAACAATTGTAGTTTTCTGCTACAAACTGTAGTCATTTCACTAAAGAAAAAGGGAAATTTAAATTTATTTTGTACTTTATTGTGGTGACTACAAAGTTAGTCAAACCTACTTAGTCCACATACAGTTAGAGTAGAGAAAATAACTTAAAATGTAAAGTTTTAATGAATAAAAAAAAGTATGGTGTCTATTTAGGAGGTTTTAGGGGTTACACAAATGAAAGTTGAAAATTTTCAGATGAAGAGAAGTATTTTTAATACATGAAAATTACTTTGCACTTGAAGCAGTCAACACTCTGATTCTGTATACTTACAGACAAATCTTTAGTAAAAGCATGTAATTACAAAATCGAATTTTTTATGTACAGAAAACTTGTAATGTTTACTAAAAGCTTGCCAAATTTTGTGAAGATACACAAAACATTAAAGTTTGTAGTATGGAACCTCTGGTTACTTTGTGGCTACAAGGTTGGTCACAGTGACTGACCCTACATGAAAAGAGATATTTGATAAGTTTGTTCCTTCTCAATGAGAACTTTGTAACATTCCCAATTTTTATAGATAATTTCAAGTATAAACTATATAATAATGTATCAGCCAGAAGTAAACATTATGTTTAATTATGTATGTTTGATTGTTAATTCCAATACAAAGTTTGAATTTCATAGAAGAGGAATTTAACAACTTATAATGATTGGGTTTAACATTTTTTACAGCTTCATCTTCATCAGAAGATGACAGTTTCTTTAGGGTTGTTCTGGAATCTAACATGGCAACTGAAGTTGGAATGATCACTCTTGATGTGCTAGGGTTATACACTGTTCACTTTAAAGAACTACTGCTTCACAATGAAGGTGATAATTCAGTGATGAAGAAAGTTTTTGATATTTATCTCTCTTTCCTGCAAGTGGGCCAGTCGGAAAGTCTTCTCAAACATTTGTTTGCTGCATTACGAGCATTCATCAATAAGGTAAGGAACATTTAAAATACCATGAAATATAGTAATATGATCTAATCATTAATTATCTGTAACTTTTTAAAAGCAATCTGCCATTTTTCACTGTTTAGGATGATGCTCTTAATTATAATACAAACTGTCAAGAGAAAAAAAGGTTATCAGAAGATTTTTAAAACAGTAATATATATGTTGGAGAAATATATATGTATGTATTACAATCAATAGCAACTATCAGATAATTTAAGATCAAAAGTGGACACTGCATATGTGAAGGTAAATATCCCATACCCTCTGAGAGAGTTATGTTTCTCTTATGCTTTATCCAATTTTAACTAAATATAATATCTGATATTACATAGCAATCAATTAAAAACATAAAGGTCTTAAAATTAGCCTATATTGTAAAGATATGATAGTATGAGAAAGTTACAAAAATACAGGGATTCACAGGATGGCATAATTAAAAACTAATCTTGGGCATAAAAATAATTTCCTAACTTTATATAATGAATTTATTATATTAATTTTTCATAATTTAATAAAATTTACCAGAAATAAAACTTAAAAGTTATATACCAAAATATTGATTAACTAAGCAAATCTTCATACAACAAACATTGTATTTCAACAATGGAAACACGGTTGTAGATCATCCACTTAGCAGGAAGTATGATTCTACTCATTTGTCTTGCAGGGTGAAATTTTTTTTATAAAAGTTTCAACTGACTAACACATCTTAAAATCATGTTTTAAATAATCAAGAATAATTGTTCAAGAATCTTTTTATTTTATTTTAGAATTTAAAACTACTATCCAAATTCATCCAACTTACATATATGCTTTAAATAAATGAGAAGTACTGAACTTTTTCAAATCTCTCTTAAAATGCATCACTTTGTAACACAGTAGAAAACAAAAATAATCCAGCTATTAAAGTTATGTGTGAATTTAAGTGTTTTGCAGTCTTAGTACTGTGTATGTATTATTCACATTTCCTATTTTAATTATTATCATCATTAGTTTAGCATAAAAAAGGGCATACTTATTTTACTTCAATTACTTATTATTACAATTCCTAGAACTAAGTTGCCAGTTTTCTAAAAATTTATATTACAAGCTATGTTAAAACACAAGCTCTGTACAACTATTTTTTTGCGTGTTATACAAGAGCTGGTATGTTTTAATAGTTTAATATGCAACCATGCAATTTCCCTTTTTTCTTTCCCCCTTTTCAAGCATAATAAGGGAACTTCTCTTATTTATTTCTTCCTAAAACTTTTGTAATCATTCACATGTGTAAAAGCAACCATTTGTACTGGAGATATACTACAACATGCTAAGCATGTTGTATTACCTTTGGATCATATGGCTAACATACAACTTGTAAATGAACCACCATAACTTGTTAGAGTACATAGTTGTTGTTTTAAAAGTGAATAAGAAGTTTATTTTGCTACAAGTAAACTTATTGTTTTCATGTGCCTAAACAACAATATTAGTATAATCTCACAGTTTTCTCACATGGTTGATTTCTATTTTAAAACATTATTTAGGCAGTGTAGTAACTCCATCAAGTGGAAAGCTCACCAAAGAACGGAAGAGTTTGTGGGTTAATAAAACCTTTATATTTCAACATGGTGCTTTATTCCTAAAGTTTTTTTGTTTTCTTAATAATAAATAACCATATTTAAATAATGGTAAAACAATATTTTGGACATGTAATGAAACACAATTCTTCAAAACTTAGTGCTGACTGGCTCTATTGAGAAAACAAAGTGCAAAGCAGGTGAAAGCTTAAAAATAACTTTCCAGGATGAGTGGAGGAAAATGGTAGCCAGCCTCTGAATCAAAGAATTAAAAAGATATGTGGTTTAAAAAAAAACGTGTGATGTTAAATTCATAATCAATATGAACTACTTGATTGTCATTCACTGACTAGCTTGTCAACTCAAAGAAGTAGATGGATTAAAATCATAACAAGATTTAAACTTTCAAATTTCAGCATAATTCTGGAGCATAGAGGTGTAATATTAAAAGGTTGAAATTCAAGGAACTCATGTATACATTTAAAATATGAACAAGGCTTTTGTACTTATATGGCACATAGTAACTGTTTTTTACACACTTGAAGATGATGTGAAATCACGTTGAAACATGTAGAGTGACTTTTATAACCGTTGATCACTTTAAATAAAGATTTTAATTGTGTATTATAAAATGTTGTTCATTTGTGGATTTTAATATAGAGGTGTAGGTTAAAGATGAGAAGCAATTTCTTTCATAGATTAAAGAAAAGTATGAATTATGTTTAGAACTCTTACAGAAAATGGCAAGTGTGTAATACTAATTGGAATGGCTATAAATATTGCAGTATTCTTCAGAATTCAATAACAATTATTTCTGACATTTCCATATTTTATAAGTGAATAAATGTGCCTGTTATGCAATTACTGGTTTAGCTTTTTATTTACTGATTTCTTTAAATGTATTTTTCTGGGGCATGAGTTGTCTCTGTAGTATAGCTCTGGATTTCAGAGTTGATGAGCCCAGTTTGAATCTGTGTGATACTACAGAATATTCTGTGCACTTTATGCTGTGAACACATTATAACAGTGATATTCAATCCTTTAGCATGGGTGGTAAGGTGCTGTTGATTGACTGCTTTCCATCTTGGTCAATAGTAAATATAAATGTAATAAATCAATAGTAAATATAAATATAAAAAATATTTGTTAATGACATATGAAATATGATGTCGTGGGTCTATCCTGTTACGAAGCATCAAAGATCATTTTCTTAATATCCATCATTCACCCAAAATATCAAAGACAAAATGTAGACAACAACAAAGGAAACATTTAAATCTAAACATTACGAAAGTTTCACTTCAAGAAAAACGGTTACCAGCATAAACGCACGTCTTTTATGCATGTGGAGTAGTGCCACAGAAGATCGAAACCTAATCTGTTGACTGACTGCTTTCCATCTTGGTCAATAGTAAATATAAATGGGGTAGATATTCTTAGTAATTTTGCCATGAATACACAATAAAGATACAAATATTTTTCTGTTTTCATAAGAAATTAATGCTTTTTATAGTTTTTATAGGGAAATTTTTGATATTATATGTGTGTGTATATATATATATATATATATATATATATTTGTTATAGTGCTTTTTTTAATAATTTAAATTACTTTTTCTTTCAGTTTCCTGTTGCCATTTTTAAAGGTAATGCATCACTTTGTGGAAAGTTGTGTTTTGAGGTAAGAGTTTTTTCAAGTATTTTATTTCAGTTATTAAATATCTTTATATTTATTCATTTTGTAAGAATTAAGTGGTTTTGGTGTTCAACCACTTGAGGTAATTATAAAAAATGCATTATTCAAATCCACAAAATAAATGTATAGTTGACTTCAAAATGTAAATAAAAGATTTGATATTTCAGAAATAGAGGTTAGACAATTATTTACAGAAGGTAAAAAACTCATTAGAGGGTCAGCTGAAATTGACTTTTGAAAATTAGCCTCAATAAGTGGATGATAAAAGATATAATTCGATAGAAGCCTTTTTAAATTAAGATGTGGAAGATAGCTTAGTGCAGTTTTTACAGGAAAATGGTTTAGTGTAGTTTTTTAGATATACACACAATTTCATTCTGAAAGATAATATGAGGTTGTTAAGCCTTTCATGTAAAGTTAGCCTTAATAGGATTTCTTCCCATGTCTTTGGAATTAATTGTAAAATAAAAGCATCTCATATGAGGCAACAAAACTCGTATCATGATCAGTTTTAAGGAGTATTTACTCTCCTCAGGCCAGTTAGAACATTTATAGGGATTGTTATCCAGCATCAAAAGGTGAAATCTCCTTCGTGTCAATATGGATCTGGCACTGATCTCTAGTTTTATCTTTGATTATGGGCTGGGTGGAATCCACCAAGCTCGTAACCATGAGAGCAGTTGTACTACAACTTTTTGTAATGTGTGTGTATTGTCATGAAATTTTGCAGATTATCAGTAAACATTACAATGCTTTTGTATAGAAAATATCAGATTTTTTAATTAAAGATTTACTTATGCATTTTTTTCTTTTTGAATGTTGACTATCCAACATGCAAAGTAATTTTGATTTTAAGATTAAAAATACTTTTTATGCATCAGAAAATTGTCAGATTTCATTTGCAAAATCTCTATAACCTTTTAATAAACTCCAGATAACTATCAAACGTGTTTTTAGAAAAACTTTGTATCTTATCCATCATTTTCTCTATCTTATCTCTGTATGGGTTTGATTGAATTGACCAACTACGTAACCAACATAAACAACTAGGAAATAAATCTAAATTACACATTTTTCATTAATGACTACAAATTGTTACAGGAAACCATAAATGTTTACTCTAAATGCCTTAAATCTCATAATATTATACATCTATTTATTATTTTTATTTTATTGACCTTTTGGTCATGTCTGACTAACATTGCAGAAGTTGCAATCATGTGGTGCACATGCAGCTCATGTTATGGTATCCAATAGCATAAAACTGGCCTTTAGAAAGTGCAACTGTTTTAACTTTGTTCTAGTGGACCAGTATTTTGTAAAATACAATCACACTTCAATAATAATATATTACATATATAGGTATATTATTACTATGTACAAATAAATTATTAAATTACAGTTATTTTCTTTAAACATAGAACAATAAATAAAGAAATATAGAACACAATAATCTCTACTACTTACAATTGTTACAAAGTTTGTATTCGCTTGCCATCCCTTACATGCTAAGCCTGGTCGAATTTTGCACATGGAGGATGAAGCAATATAATTTTTTTAGGTTTTAAATATACATTTTAAAATAGCAGAAAATGATTAATTATTAAACCAATACTACAGAATTCCACTATAATTTATCAGACTTACTAAGTAAGCTGTATTTAGGTGTAAAAAAAATATCATTTTTCGATCATTATATCATCCCCTCGGGGTGGATTCCTGTACGTATTTGTATTTTCAGTTACTTCCTCTGGGATCTAAATATCCACCCACATGATTGCCATGTGTGGTGACATGTGAAGAGGAGGAGAAGATCCTGGTGGTTGAGTGGTGTCTGGGGCACTGCAAGACACTGCTTTGGCTATAAATTCCTGTAGACAGGTGCCCCACCCCCAGAATCAATCTCCTGGTCCCATTGGGCTAGGGTCAGCTGAATACCAGTGTTGGGTGTTCTCAACGGGTGTTGTGGACATCATATCTGATGCTAGTGTTTGGGTATAGCTTTGCTGCAGTGTTCTTGTTTGACATTGTAATGCATCCCCCCATAGGACTCTATGGCTGGTGGGGTCAGTGGGCACTGAATCTTTCTCTTTTATTATAAATTCCCCAAATCCCAAAAAAAATTAAAAAACTCTGGTAATTGGTAAATGACCACGCCTTGTAGACTGAACAGCAATCTCCGCCACAATGTGGACCTGTACCTCGCTTCCTTATCCTGCATTCCCTGTTTGATTAATCTTTAGGGCAAATGTCTCCCTTTTTTTATATATACAGAAGGGATTAGAGGGGTTTGCTGGCTCTCCAAAGTCAGTTAAGAAGCTCCATTCTGGAGACATCTTGGTGGAAACATCTACAGCTAAGCACAGTGAACTCCTCTTGAATTCAAAGACCATTGGGAATATACCCATTGAGGTTACTCTCCACATTTCTTTGAATTCCTCACAAGGAGTTATTGTTGAGAGGGGCTTGAAGTCTATCCCCGAATCGGAGATCCTTGCTGATTTCTCCAGCCAAGGAGTTTCAGCAGTTTGACGAATCTCCACTCGTCAAGATGGTATTATGGTGCTGAACTCTATTCTGATTTTGATGTTTTCATCACCATGGCCACCTGCCACTGTTAAGGCGAGTAATTTGAATTGTAAGGTATGGCCATATATTCCCAACTCTCTCCGATGTTTCCAGTGCCAGCGGTTCGGTCATTCAAAGACATCTTGTCGTGATTCTGTGACGTATGCTCATTGTGGTGGCAAGGACAACGATGCCTACAGTTGCAGTGACTGACTGTATTGTCCAGGAAGCTGCTCACTTTATTTCTAAAACCTTAACACGTTTTCCACAGTATCCTCGTCCATGGTGGAGTCCTGCCTGCCAGGAGGCATGGAAAGATCCAAAACAAGCCTGGAATACCTTCCGACAGTATTCCTCTCTTTCTAATCGCATTGTTTATCAGCAGGCCAATGCTCAGCAGGTTTGATGTCAAAGCCAAACGGAGTCTTGGATTAAGCTTACTACTAGCATCTCTTCTACCACCAGTTCCAAAACTGTATGGAACAAGATTAGAAAAGTCAGTGGGAGGTGTTTGAGTTCCGCAAGTGTAAAGGGGCAATTATAGTCGTAGAGATGGTTGGCCTGAAAGAAAAGAGGTGATTGCTCTGCCCGAGACTTCATGGCCAAAAAAAGCAGGGGAAGAAACAAAGTGCTAGATGCACGAGAAAAGTTGTGGCAGAGAGCATCAGCAACTTTCTGGCCACTGGAGAGCAAGATGGAAAGGGAATGGGAAGCATTTGTTTTTCATCTGTCGGACTTGATGATGTTCATTATGAGATGCTGCGCCATCTCTCTCCTGCCTATCTTGCTATTCTTCTGGTTATTTTTAATTGGATCTGGCAGGAGCATGTTTTTCTTGATGCTTGGCACCAGGCTATTGTCCTCCCTTTCTCTATACCTAGGAAGGATCCAAAGGTTCATTCTAATTATTGTCCTATCGTTTTGACTAGTTGTCTTTGTAAGGTCTTAGAGAGAATGGTTAATGCTCATCTTGTTTGTTTCCTCGATTCAAACATGCTCCTCTCGACCACCCAGTGTGTGTTCCATCGACAGCCCTGCACCGTGGACCATCTGATTCGTCTTGAAACGTTGATCTTGTTTCTGTGATCTTTGATCTCGAGAAGGCTATGACACTACATGGAGGTAGGGCATTTTGCAGGACCTCCACTCCTATGTGTTGCATGGTCATTTACCCATTTTTATTCAGAACTTTTTACTGGACAGGCAATTCCAAGTCTGTATGGGTTCAACTCTTTCCTGTTCCTTTCTGCAGGAACTTGGAGTCCCTCAGGGATGTGTCTTGAGTGTCACACTTTTTAGTGTTAAAATTAATGCTATCACTACTCACCTTCCTCCAACTGTTGCAAATGGGCTCTATGTCAACGACTTCCACATCTTGTGTCAGTCGTCGAACATGAGGTTTATTGAGCGGCAGCCTCAGACTGTCCTCAATTGGTTGTTGATGTGGACCACTGCAAACGCTTTTAAATTTTCTTTTACCAAAACCGCATGCATACGGGGTCTCCAACCCGATCTCTGTCTCGGCAGTGTTGTTATTCATATGGTCCCTGAGGAAAAGTTCTTGGGCTTATCTTTGATCGTAAGTTTATTTCCATTCCACACATCAAGCAGCTATGTGTCAAGTGTGCAAGGGCTCTGAACATCCTCCTTGTTCTCTCTTCCACCTCTTAGGGAGCAGATTGATGTTCCATGCTCAGGATCTATCATGCCCTGATTCAATTCAAACTTGGACTATACTTCTTCCAGGGCTTTGGCCTTGAAGATGGTGGACCCCATTCACCATCTGGGGCTTTGGCTCTCCACCAGGGCTTTTTGCACTTCTCCAGTCCAGACTTTGTACACTGAGTCCCACAAACCTCCTCTTCATCTCCATCATTTGCAACTTTCTCCAGAATATCCTACCAAGCTTTGATCCTTACCACGGCATCCCACCTGGGATTGTGTCTTTCTTCCTTGGTGGGTCATGCTCTTTCAGAATAGATGGTCTGCAATTCCTCCCTTTGGTCTTCGTATCTGGGCACAACTGGCTGAATTGGGTCTGGCATTGGATGACATTGCTGTCCCAAATGATCAGCCCATTCCACCATAGCTTATTACCATTCCTGCCTGTGACCTTTCCTTGAGTCATCTAAGGAAGGCAGATACTCCCGATTGGAAGTACTGTCTTTTTTTGCTGAACATCTTTCGAGCCATTCTTCTCTTCCTATTTACACAGATGGTTCGAAATTGGGTAACTCTGTAGGCTCTGCCATGGTTTGCTGTGGCTCGGTAGTTGTTTGCAGGATCCTTTTTACGATTTCTGTGTTCACTGCCAAGTTGTATGCTATTTTTCTTGCCATGAATCATGTAGAAGCTATGCAGTACAGTGATTGTACTATTTACACTGATTGTTTTAGCTCTGTTCTGGTCGACCAGCATGTGCCCTCCTTATCTGTGTCCCTCAATACACCCTTGGAAGCTGTAACCATCCGTGTTTCCTTCGGTCGTACCATCACTGTTTGTTCTCTCTATCTGTCTCTTGGGGAGACTTATGATCAGTCGGACCTTGATGCTCTCATTGATCAGTTGCCATCTGCTTTTTCACTTCTGGGAGACTTTAATGGACACAACCACCTCTGGTGTGGTGCTGATATTGATAAGAGGGGTCGTTCTGTAGAGCATATGTAGAAGCTATGCAGTACAGTGATTGTACTATTTCCACTGATTCTCTTAGCTCTATACTGGCCCTGGAATCTCTTAACAATATTAAAACTTGAATTATAATTTACAATGTTATGATAAACTCTTTGCCATACATTCATAAAATAGTAGTTCAATAAAATTTTGAATGTAAGTCTACAAATGTGATGATGTGCCCTCTAACCCCTATGACAGGAAAACCCATAGCTATAGGGTTAATTGACAAAAGCAGATGACAATGGAAATGCATTTTTCCTGGACAGGGTGCCAGTCTATTGCAAGTTAACCCCAGCTAACAGCTGGTATCTATCACGCAGCTGGGTAGATTGAACTTGCAACCATCCAGCTAAGAGCTTTAAGCCAATGTGCCATGCTGCCTTGTCACCTAGCATAACTTTATGTAATTCAGTGTCTGGAAGATAACAATGACATTTTTATATATACGTATGCATTTGAAAAAAGATTTAAAAGCTTCTCAATTGCCAAGAAAATTCAGCATTCTAGTTTTCTTTGAGTTGATTTGCAGTGTGAAATCATATTATCTCCTTACATGTAAAAAATTTATAACATAATCAGTTGAAAACTGTAATTTTGAAAAATATCATCTCACATCAGCCAAATCAGGTTCATGTTAGAAATTATTAGTAAGTAGATTATTAAATGGCTGTAGTTATGGGAAATAGATTGATATATTTCTGGTATTAACAAAAAAACACAGTTGACATTGTAATACATCCAGCAATTAAGAGCTCTCAAAATTAATGACAAAAATATAATTACATGTTTAGGTCCTCTCATACTGACATTGATTTGTTTCTATTACAAAGTATGACAACTAGGATGTATAAGACCCGTGAATGTAGGATGTATTACTTTTGTCTGTTACTACTTTTTTTTATTAGAAAATCCATCAGATTCAATGACATTATATCATTAAAAGTTTTAATGTTAATATAAACTTTGAAAAGTCTAAACAGAATTAATACTTTGGCCTTAGCTGAAACAATATGGATAGAGTTCATTATACCAATCCCATTGTAAGCTCTTCACATCAAAAGATGTACAACTTTTTTAATGTGCAGTATATGTATTCATATAAATACAAATGAATTTACAAAACTTTAAAAAACACCATTTAGTATTTTTTATTCTTAGCAGACTTGTACTGCTATGATATTTCAGCACATATCAGTATTAAGATGTATGTATAGATAGTGTGTGTTGGAAATAACTTAAAACTTAGTTGTTGTTTTTTTATGAACTTGCCAATTTTTCATTTAAGAAGTAGGTTTTCTATTTATAGCAAAATGTTTTTAAAACTTGGAATTTTGTAACCCAAGTAAAACTTTTTTGAGATCACAGATTGAGAGAAATATTTTAATGAATGTTATGTATCACTACCCAAAGTTCTTTTTCAATGGACGTTAGAACATAAGAAAGACAGGCTTAAATGTACAGGATATATTATTTTTATCATGTCATAGCTGAAAGGTAATTAACAGTGTGTGTGTGTGTATTGTTTGCAGTTTCTTTTCTTACACTTATTTCCATCTTTAGTTGCTACGGTGTTGTAACTCCAAGCTCTCGAGTGTGAGAAATGAGGCTTGTGCTTTGCTGTATCTTTTAATGAGGAGTAACTTTGAGTTCACTGGAAGAAAAGGTTTAACAAGAGTCCACTTGCAGGTAAATGTGGTCATAAACAAAATTAATTATTTTACTGGGTTCTGTCACTTATCCATAAAAAGAAAGAAAGAAATACCCATCTAAAACTTTTTAGTGTGTTGAATATGCAGTGAAGAAATGGGTAAGTGACATTTAATAGAAAGGGTGAAATTTACTATCTTTTAATCATCAAACTAACTATGCTATTATAATGAAACAATGGTTATAAAATGTTCCAACTCTAAGTATGCTATTATAATGAAACAATGGTTATGAAGTGTTCCAACTCTAAGTATGCTATTATAATTCAAACAATGGTTATAAAAGTGTTCCAACTCTAAGTATGCTATTATAATCAAACAATGGTTATGAAGTGTTCCAACTCTAAGTATGCTATTATAATCAAACAATGGTTATAAAATGTTCCAACTCTGGTTGAAGTAATAAGGAAGCTCAATATAGATGAAAAATGCTTCATTGAGTATCAGAACACAAAAAGAAGAAAAATAATAATAGTTTCATTGTTTTTTATTTTAAAAAAAGCCATCTAACATAAATTCATACACAATTTTTTAGTGTACAAGTATTGAAATTGCTTTATAATAAGGAAATTTACCAAAATGCAAAAATACTAAAATTAAAGTATTTTAATAACTTATAATGATATAAATAGGAATACTTAGATTAAAATCCAGGTAGTCAGTAACTTGTGTTTAAATGGCTAATCTAACGAATTCATTGAAATCAAAAAGATTATTCCAAAGCAAGGAAATAAGGTATGGAAGATATGTTTAAATAATGAAAACAATTGCTGTACTGGTTCTTAAAACATAGTACTAAACTATAAGCAAAAACATGCCTAAAAAGAAAGAAGTTAGATTTATTTGTGGTGTGTTTTGCATAACAAAGATAATTTATATTTTATACTCTTTATTTTATTAATACATATGTAGTCCATAAATATTTTCTTTTAGAATTTGAAGCTGATGTTTAAATGGATTTGTAACAATACAGATTATAAGACTTGCTGAATTTTGAAACATACAGATAATAAGAATGTAATATCTATAAATAGTAAACAGTGGGTGATGTAACATTTTTTAAACATAATTTAATAAAGTGTTATATTCCTATGTTATGTAGCTGATAGTATCAGTATCAAGACTACTAGGAGAAGCTATAGGACTGAATAATGCCAAATTTCAGGAGAGCCTGTCAATTATCAACAATTATGCCAATAGCGACAAAGCAATGCAGAAAACAGGTATATTGTATATGTAACCTCAACTTACTACTCGAACTGTATACATCAATGTGTGTGTGTATTGTGAGTAAATGGGAAATCTTGTTTTCCGTAGAAAATGTTGGATCAGTTGTATTATCATGTCGGATTATATTTTTTGTGGTTAGTTATACTTATCAATCCTTAGTAATTTTCATACTAAAAGATCAATAAGTGAATAAGTAGTTTAATTGTGCATAATGTAATGTATTTTTTATATTCAAACAATAACAGTTTTTATCAGCTGCACAATAACATACCATAGGCTACTTTTTTTTTTCAAGAAATCTGTATTTTTACAGCACAAGGATAAAACGTATTTCTAATATACCTAATTTCACGGATAATAATTCTGTTACTATCTACTGATATTTTATAAGCTTTAGAAATATGTCATTCTATGTTGTTTTTTTGTAGTTTTACTTAATGACATTCTTTTTTCTTATAAAGCAAAAACATACATTTTCTATAATCTTTTATTTTACAGTATTTCCATCAGAGGTGAAGGACCTGACAAAAAGAATACGAACTGTGTTGATGGCTACAGTCCAGATGCGAGAACATGAGAATGATCCTGAGATGCTGGTAGATTTAAAGCATAGTCTGGCTAATAGTTATGCTGCTACTCCTGCTTTACGGAAGACCTGGCTGGAAAGCATGGCTCAGAATCACAAGAAAGATGGAAACTATTCAGAGGTAAGTCAGAAAACATATTCAGTTGGTAACTTTCACATCAGATTAAGACAATTATATCAGTGAAACTTGCAAAAATTCTTTGTTAAAGATCTGTTATAAGAATATTTTATCTGACTTACTAAGCTAATATCTTCCAAGCAGCACAGACCACTAGTAATAAAGATATTGTTTGAAAACATATTGTAACGTAAAATTTTGTATAAAATTAAGTAAGTGCATACCATTTATATAATAAATAAAATGTAACTAAGCAGTGCAGCATACCTACTAACCATATCAGGGGATTAAGGAGTTAAAACCATGCAATAGATTACATCGTATACAGCTTCTGGTGTAGGTAGATGTAGCAGTAAATGTATCATTTTATCACTATTTTATACAGACAGATGAAGTTAAGTTTTAGTGTATAGTAATCCTAGTTTGTAGTGTACTTGTGTTGAAATTCCATTCTTCTGGCAGGCTGCTCACTGCTCCCTACATATTGCTGCCCTTGAAGCAGAGTGTCTAAAATACAAAGGTAAGTGTTAAGACATGTCTTGTGCAAAGCTTTGAATGTTAATGGATATGCATGTTTGTGTCCCCATGATTTGGTATGAATGGTATGTGAATTCTCTAAATAGTAAGATTTTGATTTGGACTATCTGTAAGTAGTTCATGCATATTATTATTGTTATTTTAGCCATAACTTGTACTAAGTTTTATGTTTTCATTGTTTTTTTTTATTCTGTAAAAGTGTATTGTTTTTATAGTAGCAAAATTAGCACACAAAAAAGACGTAATTTAAAGTTGAAAGAATATATTTGGCAACTTTAGAGATATTCATTTAGTATTGATAGTCTGCTAGATAGCTAGAAAATTGAATGAATTTTTGCTGAAGTATGTTTTTTTTTCGCTCTAAAATTGTAATCAGCTGTGAGATTATAAAGATACCAATAAAAAACAAAAATAAAGTAAAATAACCAATTTTTTTTCAAGGCATAAAAAAAATATATATATGTCAAACTTCATTAATATGTTCTAAGAAGCAAATATTTTTCAACTATGAACCTCCAAAATCACGACTTTGAGATTCTAAGAGATATATTTAGTCCTGTCCGTAATTGGAGACTTTCTACTGTCATATTTTAGGCCTCAACAAGATTAGCTTTGTGTATAATCATCACAGATATGAGCCATACTTGAATAGCATTTTTACAACCAGTTGGACTTGTAAAAAAAAAACAAGTTTTTTCTGACTTCAATCGTTGAATAATATTCATGATTAAACATTAATATGTACACATTTTTCATTGTTTGAAAATGTTGCCAAAAGCCTAGTATTTTTTTAGTTTAAAATGCCCTGGGAGGTAAATTTTGTGTCATGGCCTAACTCATCTAAATTCCATTCACTTATTTCTGTTTTTACAGGTATATTTCCTCGAGGATGTCAGGCTTTTGACAGAGTTTCACCTAATGTAGTTCATGATGAATCAAATGTAAAAGAAGATGTTGGAATGCATGATGATGCTCAGTATACAGAGGTGACTAATTTTGATTTGTAGAACGCTGACTTGTAGTTGATTTAATATTGAAATTTTAATATATTTTATAGAAAATACCTGGAATCTATTACAGATTGTCTTAATGTAATATTTCTAACTTTTGAAGATTATAGCTTCATTAAATTTCTTCTGTGATTACACTTAAAAATATTTACAATAATATGTTGACTAGATAATGCTTTATTATCTCTAAATTCCCATATATATATATATATATATATTGTAACATCACTGTTTTAGGATTCTCTGTTGGAAAGACTACAAGAATGTGTTGAGTTACTACAGGATGCTGAAAGGTATGAGCTGATAGCAGAAGTGTACAGACTAAGCATCCCAGTTTACGAACACAGAAGGGACTATGAGGTAAGCAGATAAGATTATTTGATAAAGGAAATCTAAATATTCTGGTGTACTAAAGATATAAAAAACTGTTTTTGTGAAATAGGAAAGTAATTATGTAAGACCTAGGAAAGTAGTACGACTTAAAATATTTAAGATGTAAAACAGTTCAAGCAATATAAAAACGATTAGTACAGAGAAATACTGCTGGAATAGATCATTGAAGCTTTTTTTTTCCAACCTAGAAGCATAAACTGTGAAGCATTAAACAGTTTCAAGGTTCTCGTGATCTTGAAAAAAAGCTTTAAACATTTTCAAAGTTAATTTCCAGGTCTGGAAAAGTCATGGAAAACTGTGACTTTATGATATACATTATCTGATTTAACAACAGTTAATCATTTCATAGAATGATTAACTTAATTAAAATGTGGTTAATTAAATAAAATTTTAAAAAAGCAACTGAAAAAGATGTGAGTATGAAGTAGATAAGAGGGATGATTCAAGGATATAAAATGTCATGAAAAATAGCTGAAATGTCCTGGAAAATTATTTTTAACCAAGAATGGAAACCTTCAGTGTTGTTACAAATTGTATGAAATATAAATATACTGAGTTTGTTAATACTACTATCTTTTAGTTACAGCTAATTTATTGTATGTGTTGAACTAATTTTTAAATCTACATTGTTCATAGGCTCTAGCTTCTTGTTACAAGACTCTTCAAAATGGCTACAATAAAATCGTAGAAGTAAACAGAACAGGGAGACGCTTGCTGGGAAAATATTATCGAGTTGCTTTTTTTGGACAGGTAAGATGTTTCATCTTATTGTTTATTAATGTTTAAAAAAATAATGAAGGACAGAATTAAAATCAGTATTAGCAAAATATCACTGAGTCTTAATTCAATTTAAAGGAAGAAAGCTATTTATTAAAATGTAGCCACTACTTAGTCAAATTTGAACAAATGAATGAAAGACATTGGTATCATTGTTTTAGCCAAATAATCTTCCTTGAAATATGTATAACATGGGCTTTGTTTGATAATTCAGTTAGAAATATTTTTGATACTGTTTAGTATGTGGATTCTCAGTAAACAAAACTCAAAATGAACTTCTGTATGAATGAATCTAGAAACACCTGCAATATATTGAAACTTTTTTTGTAAATTTCAGTTAGACAGCTAAAGTGAACTCCTCCCTTTAAACTTAATATAAAATAAACACCAGTTATTATTGAGGTTAAAATATTTGACATGTATGCTATCATGTGATTTTTGCTATCACTGTTAATAATAATTACATTCTAGAATATTCCTTTGTTGTTGTTTGTTTCCAGCCTTACTTTGAAGAAGAGTCTGGTAAAGAATATATCTACAAAGAACCTAAAGTCACTTCTCTTGCAGAAATTTCTGAAAGACTCCATCACTTGTTCTGTGAAAAGTTTGGAAAAGACATAGTTAAGATGATCATGGACTCAAAAGTTGTAAGAAAATAAATAAAAATATTTTACCAATTTATTCTCTGTAAATCTTCTGATGTAATAAGTTTTGTTTTCTTTCTGTTGAGTGCCATTACCATAGAAAGCTAATTGTTTATTATAATTATTTCAATTTCTAATCACAGTTACAATAATAATACTATTTGAGTGTTCTTGACCCTAACATCATTCCACATAACCAACTTTCTGATAGAGGAACCTCTTCTAAAAAAAACCTAAGCAATGTAAAAATTGAAATGTGTAAAAAAAGCTATTTAAATTGATTCTGTTTGCTCTGTGAGAAAATAAGTTATATAACATTAATATTCTTAAAATAAACTTTCTTTCCAAACATTAAATTATTATATGCCTTTGTTAAATGTTTTACAAAATAGATATAATATGTACAATAGCCTTATCTTCTGGTCATATAAAAATGACATTTAAGAATATGTTTACAAAAAATTAAAAGGACTCCCACTTGCAGTAGTATCTTGTTTTTAACCAGTACCTCTCAGAGCAGCACTGAATGCTGTAAATTAACACTAGATCTACAAGATAGTTAAAAAGTGTTAATTTAAAAAGGGGAATAGGCATTGTCAAAAAAGTACAAAAACAAGTTGAATCAAAATGCAAAGATTTTATTTTCAAGCCTACAACTAGAGATTCTAAAAAAGTAAACAACCTAGGCTGGAAATAGTGTTTACGTTATTTTCTCAAGTTACAATTCCCTATTTTGACTTAATGTTTACAGTACTTATCAATTTTAGTGGAGTCAAAATACGGATTTGTAGTTTGGGAAAATAATGTAGACACTATTTCCAGCCTAGCTTGTTTACTATTTTAAGAGTCTCTAGTTTTAAACACACATTCAACAAATGAAATACGAAAATCAATGGAATAAATCACCACTCACAAGAGTAGAGAAATCTACTATGGTAATCGTCTACTATTGCAAAACTCACTGAAATAGTCACAGAAAACTACATAGAGACAAAGTACAGCAGCAAACTCTAGAAACACTGAAGAACAGTAAACTTGAGAATTGGTGAATCCTTAACATGGCAGTTTTCAATTAATGCACTTCAAGTTGCACAAATTATTTTTCCAATTAATGCACATTAGTAAAACCAAATTTTTTCAAGGGCAGAAAGTGAAGGAGTTAGATTTTTCAGGACGAAAAAATGAAGGTGCTTGAATTAATTTTAAAACTATCTTATCACATAATTAATACTGCATTCATTACTATTATCTAGGTTTCAGTAAAATATTCGTAGTTGTTTTTTCGGTAGTGGCTTGTAAAACTATAATCAATAATAATAAGGCTTGAGACACTGTTATAAACATACACATTGTTTACTCTACTAAAAGGAAGCATTTCCAATTAATATAAAAAGATCATTTTTGGCTAGTATAACAGTGCTTAAATGGCTTCTGCACTTCTGCGATGCTTGAATGGCTTCTTAGAGCTTATGTTGGTAGTGAAGAACTTAGAAATGTTTAGAGGGTGGAACTCTAAACTTTCAAGAATCCACATAAAAATAACCCTACAATCTTCGCAGGAGTTTGTTTAGTAGCTGTGCATAGATTTTGGCTTTTATTCCTAGCCATTTTTGCTGTAGGCTTTGGTGCTTGAATGGCTTCAAAGAGAAACTTGGCCAATAGCGATGGAAAAACTGATAAAATCTCTCCTTCTCTTTCATGAATCAACATAAAAATAGTCCTATGATCTGCACAAGTTTTTTTAGTAGGTTTTCCCAGGTTTGAATAGAATATTCATATCTGTTTTTTCTGTAGGCTTATTAAACAAGAATAATAATAATAACAAATCGATGAATTTTAAATTTTGTTTATTATCAATATTTTAGCAACCTTAGCCATTAAGATAGAAAGTCTTGAGTGTTGTTTCAAGAACAAGTCTGCTTTTTAAAATGGTTTTTGCCAATATGTTCTGTTAGAATATTTGTGAAATTCCTGGCAAACTTGATTATGAACCACTATCCTGTTTCATGATAATACTCTTAAAGAATTGAACCATTAGTACTCTTACTTATAAGACTTGTTTGTCTAGAACTCATGTTGTAGTATATGTGTACAGTTTTTCTAAAAATGTTTTGTCTTTTTCATAAGAAGTACTTTTGATAAATGTTAAGCATGCAGATGTAAATTTTTCTGTGAGTTTCAGGAGATGACATTTTTTCAGTATGCTAAAATAAAGTTATTTTGTGATTTGTATATGACTGAATTTTCAAGCTGCATAAGATGCTGTGTAAAATCCATATATCTATCCTGATTTGAAAGTTAGTGCACCATCATTCAGACTTTTTTATCTTTTCAAGTACTTGTTAAGACTGAACACTAACATGAGAAACAAAAACTTCTGAAACAGGATATGCTCTTGAGTTGTCAGAAATTATGATATTCGAAACAAGTACTTAAATGATGGAACCAGTTTTAACAAGATAGTTTGGTAGAGTTTAGTGAAGTTCAAAAACATTAAACAAAAGTGAAATTTTTGGTGGGATCATTTGTTCAAACTTGGCTGAAAATCATCATGTAATTATACTGAATATTGACTAAAGTTTTATCATATAGATATTTGAGGTTAGAATACAAGTTTTCTTTGAACATAAACAATAATTTAAGGAAACATTCAGTTCTGGGAATGTTTATTATATAACTTCATCAATTATTATATACAAATAAGTGAATATCTTGATGAGATTTTTGTTTGTGTAGGCCATGTTTTTCAGTTGACGCACTTTCAATTATTAGAAGTGTTGCCTATGAAATTCTAATCATCTTACTGTAACAGTTATTATAATAGCATTTTGTACAATTTACCAATCTATTTCTGAAGGGAACTGTGATTACTCTCAGATATTTTGTAAGTGTATGATTATTTCTTTTAATAAGGTCAACCCTGAAGACTTGGATCCAAAGTATGCATACATTCAGGTGACACATGTTACACCTTACTTTGAAGAAGTTGAGCTCAGTCAGCGACAAACTGAATTTGAGCGTAACAATGATCTTAGAAGATTTGTGTTTGAGACTCCATTTACTCTTAGTGGCAATAAAGCTCAAGGTATTCCTGAGGAACAGTGTAAACGTCGCACAGTTCTTACTAGTAAGTTTTATACTGGATGAGGTACTTATTTTAGGTTTCATATAACTTTTTTGAAACATAATATTTAGTGAAAGTATGTAAGCCTAAAAATATGTTAGTATATTTTTCAAATCTCTCCCTCTTTCCTTAAAACTAATAGTGTTAAAAAATGGGGAAAAAATTAAATTAGTATTTCTGATTGAAAAGTATAACAAGAAATGTTTCATTTATATATACATATTTATTTATTTATTTTACAGCTATAAACTCCTTTCCATATGTAAAGAAACGCATTCCTGTTTTCTCAAAATCAACAAAAGTTCTTGAGCCTATAGAAGTAGCAATTGATGAAATGCAGGTGAGAGTATGTGAGATCCAAGAAGTTGTGTCCTTAAAACCTACTGACTTAAAGAAACTCCAGCTGAAGCTGCAGGGCAGTATAAGTGTACAGGTATGAATGTGTAGAACATTCAACTTATTTTTGTATAACTACAAGTGTGCAGGTACAGTTGTACATGATATTCAAGTAACATTCTAAGTAAAGCTAAGCTACAGGGCTGTATAAATGTGTGCAATATTTAAGTAGTTGTTCTAAATAAAGCTATAAACTACAATTGTACCTAACATTAAAGTACTTGTTTCAAGTATAACTACAAAAAATGTATATGTTTAACTATCTACTTCAGCTGAAACTTAAGGTACTTTTTATAACAGAATACCATATATAGGCAGTTATATAGTTAACTGTTTTCATTCAGTATATATAGTTGTACAATTAAATGTTGGAACTGACTAAATAGGATACATTTATTTCTAATACAAACCCTCACAGTAAATAGTTGTCCAAATAACTTTGTATTTACTGTATTAAATACATAAATATCAAAACATAGTACCCAACAGCAAGCAGCTGTACAGTTAACTGTTTGAAAACACTAAATGATAAACCTATTTCAAAGTAAAACACAGACAATAAGTAGTTGTACAGATAACTCTGTATTTACTGTATTAAATACATAATGTCAAAACATAGTATCTGACAGCAAGCAGCTGTACAGTTAACTGTTTCAAATCTCTAAAGATAAATCTATTTCAAAATAAAACGCATACAGCAAATAGTTGTACAGATAACTGTACTGAATACATAATATCAAAACATAGGTCCTGGCAGCAAGCAGCTGTACAGTTAACTGTATGAAAATACTAAAAGATAAACCTATTTCAAAATATAACCCAGTCAATAAGTAATTGTACAGATAATGGTGTACACTTACTGTAGGAGTTATGAAAACTAAATATCAGATGTGAAATTGGTGTATAATTGTTTGAACTGGATAAAGGATTAAAAAATGTTGCCATTTCAGAATACAAACATAACCAGAAATTATTGTACAAATAACTCAATTTACAATGTTGTCAAAACTTGTTAGCAACTCCAGTTAATCTTGTTTAATAAACGATACTTTTATGGCCTTCCTATAAAATGCATGGTTGTTATCAGTGTTTTTTGCTAAAGGAAATAGTTTTATAATTTGGTAGTTGGATAGTAAGTGGTTCTGTGTAAAATACTTTTCTCGATGCTTAATATGATTTTTATTATATAGAATATTTGTTCATATATTTAAAATTAAAAAACAATGTTACTAAATTAAACTACAAAAAGATTAGTATTAATTACAAATAAATTCAGTTATTGTACATGTAATATATTTTAGTTAGCATTATATTTTAGGATATATAGCTTCAAGTTTCTAGAAGAAAATAAGATTTTTTTTCTTCAAGTTTTCTGAGGAGCATAAACAACCAGTTGGGACTTAAACAAGTAGGAAACTGGAAATTTTGTATCTTCTACAAATTAGTGTTTCATTCTTATAAACTGAAACATAAATTGTATGCAAGTATATTTATCTACTTCCACCAGTTCAGAAATTACACTTATTACAGTTATTGTTATACATCTCAAATGACAAGATCAATCTATTGTTTCTGTTACTTTAGGTAAATGCAGGCCCTCTAGCTTATTCTAGAGCTTTTCTTTCTGAGGAAAATTGTGCCAAATATCCAAAAGAAAAGGTAGCCGGACTAAGAAGTGTCTTCAGGTACACACACACATTCTGACAGAAATGTCAAATAAAGATTGTATATTTGATATGTACATATACAATTATCAGACATAGAGTTATGATGTATTTATATGTATATCTTCAATTATAAGACAGAAAGTTATAATTTATTTATGTATACATGTACAGCTCTCAGACAAAAAATTATTATTCATAGCTACAAGATACTTTTAAAAAAGTTTCAAGTTCAGTGGTTCATATCTCTTAACAGTATGGCATAGGAAGATGAAATTGTACAGGAACATTAAGGGTCCCATTCAAATGCCACAGTTGCCACCAGGAGCAACACTACGATCAAATGCCTGACCAATTACAGCAGCTGCTCCAAATGTGCTCTTCCAGCATCCAGAATACATTGCATCTATGTGACAATGGATATTACAGAAACAATGCACATCTCATCTGGTATGCTGACCACAAGTTGCATCCTTGAGATCTGGAATTGTGTGAGGTTGGTGTTAGGTCCATTGAACAAGGTGGCCATTCACAAGGAAATTCATGTGGAATAATTCTATTTTTAACATGCTCCTGCAAGATATGTTTCACATGGTTACCAATATGATTAGGGGCACCATCCTGCATAAAAACCATAGTGTCTATCACATTTCATTGCTGCAGCATGGAAATCACGTTGTTTGTGAACATTGCATTATATTGTGCAGCATTGACTGTTCAAGTTTGCAATCCATTTGCTGATTGGGTCTTCAAAAAAATTATGGTCTAATAGTAAAGTCAGCTATGAAATGAAACCACTCCACACAATAGTATTGTGTAGGTGAGTTGGATGTGTTTCATCAGTCCATAAAGTATTGGTAAGCTATTGGTCATCAACTTTCAGTATTTACAAGAACTACAATGCAAAGCAAACATATTGAGCTAAATCCTTCTCTTTTATGACTTGAAATGATGCATTTTGCAAGGAAACATTTGGAAAGTTGACTGAAGAACCTTTCAAACAACTGAAATTTGCAAATCCAGACATTGGGCAATATAATGTGCACTGTTACACCCATGAATTTGCACACAGGAACAAGGCCCTTTGCAGATCTTATGCACTCTATGGTATTCAATGAGAGCTGCCTCAGCATTGTAGCCTCTGGTGTAATAATATTTCACCAGTTCACCTCTTTGCACACTTGTTAGTTTCATGTTAGTTGTATGAGCTGCACTGTAATCAACTGGCTCATTTATATCCATGGTGGAAACATATTACTACTGTGTAATTTGCATGTGCAAGATACCCTTAGTACCCCTTTGTAGTTTTATTTTCTTATACCATATGTAAGATATGACACACTGAATTATAAAAGTCTCTTTATTAAATGGAAAATTATAATGTATTTATTTGTACATCTGTAACTGTCAGAAAATTTTAATGTATTCATTGTGCAAACCTATTATAAAGTTACGTAAAGCTTTTACATATTTTGTTTTCTGTATTTTATTTTGATTGGTGATCAAATATGGATAGTAGAATAATTGTATACAATGGTTAAAATTATCCATTAAAATAAACTTATTTTGTATCAATCATCTGTCCTGATTAAAATATATTAAAAGTACCAGTATTATAATCTTCAGTTAAATTTTAAAAATTGTTTACAGGAGGTTTTTACATGTTTGCCAAGAGGCCTTGGAACTAAATAGTAGACTAGTAACATCGGATCAGTATGAGTACCATGAAAACCTGAGAAAAAATTATCAAAACTTAATGGAAGCTTTGTCATACTTGCTTCATGATAGAGTAAGTGTATTTCTGTGTTCATGTTTTATTTCAGAGGATAGAACTTTATGGTACTTGCTTCATGACGAGGTGAATATAAGGTCTATGTTTAAGTTTTATATTAGTGGATAGAAGCGTAGATGTATGTCTGTGTTCATGTTTTGTTTTAGTGGACAGAACTTTATCTAGCCTCATGATGACATAAGTGTATGTTTGTGTTCATGTTTTGTTTTAGTGGACAGAACTTTATCTCGCCTCATGATGACATAAGTGTATGTTTGTATTCATGTTTTGATTTAGTGGACAGAACTTTATCTAGCCTCATGATGACACAAGTGTATGTTTGTATTCATATTTTGTTTTAGTGGACAGAACTTTATCTAGCCTCATGATGACATAAGTGTATGTTTGTGTTCATGTTTTGTTTTAGTGGATTGAACTTTATCTAGCCTCATGATGACACAAGTGTATGTTTGTGTTCATGTTTTGTTTTAGTGGATAGAACTTTATCTAGCCTCATGATGACATAAGTGTATGTTTGTGTTCATGTTTTGATTTAGTGGACAGAACTTTATCTAGCCTCATGATGACATAAATGTATGTTTGTATTCATATTTTGTTTTAGTGGATAGAACTTTATCTAGCCTCATGATGACACAAGTGTATGTTTGTATTCATGTTTTGTTTTAGTGGATAGAATTGTATCTCACTTGTTTCATCACAGAGTATATACAAGTTTTTATATGTTCACATACATTATCTCAGTATAGAAAAGTTGTTTGTTATTATATTGAAAGGCAGGTTGAGTGTTGGTTACATGGGTGTATAACTTATTAAACAACGTACATCTATGAAATAAAATCATCCACTTGAAAAGAATACCATAAACAGTCCCTAGAATAAGAGGTATTAATATCCAGACTTGCACATGAAAAGAATACCACAGGCAGTCCCTATAATAAGATCTCCTGAGCAATATTCATTAATTTTTCAGGGAAGTGGTAGAGAAGACAGAAATGGAGAGCGAGGAATCATGAAGCTCAGACGTATTTCAACTGGAATGTTTCATGAAATTAGTGCCTCTTCTGAAACTAGCACTGTTTAACACAGATGTATTGAAGTGCAAATTTAACCTTATCTCTTGGTATTATGTTTCTGTGTGTTGATGTGACAAGTGCTGAAAAAATGAGACAGTTATGAATAGAAGACAAATTGTTATGTAGAAGAAAAAAGTCCTGTTTTTTTGGAGAGCTTGATATTGTTCAGAAAAATGTAGTATTTGTTTACTGCTATTTTATGCATCCAACTACTTTGTATTGATAATCTAGTTTTATTTTAAACACTTAAAATTTAAAATTACATTCTTATGTTCTGGTAAGAAATTGCAAAATGTTCATTTATTTGGCATTAGTAACATTTGTGACTATACTGTTATGCTTGAAATGTGAAAGTGTGCTTTTGAATTTCTATATTAATTGGTACTTAAATCTCTGGCTACAAGGAGAATCTAACAAGTATTTAACACTAGGTATTTTTGTTTGTTTGAAAGAGATCATACTTGTTTTAAAAATTGTTCTGTTGGGTTTATAAAAGAAGTATGATGTGCTAGTATTATTTTGATAAATTTATAAGTTTTAAGTCTTATGGAAATTCTTGGCAGATGGATATTTTTGGTGTACAATTTCACATAACCTGACTCTTGCCATGGTTCTTGAGGTAGATAACGTTTGGAACTTGAAGCCTAGGTCTCCTTCATTTTTGAAGAACATTAATCATTGTAACGTTGTCCTCCTCAGAATTAAGGCAGAATGAGTTTATGAGAGATTCTAGCCAAAGATTTGAGGACTTCTTTTCCTAGAAGATGAAACATGAAGCCCTGTAAGCAATGGAGAGAGAGTTAATGTGAATGTCAGATTATATTACTTCTTTAGTAAAATCATCAGACATTCAGTGACTAAATATCAAGCCTGTTGAAAATTTTCCACACTCCTGAAATTAATTTTCATAACAGATGGTGCAGCTTTCTGTTTCACCTTGTGCCTTCTTTCCTTATTGTGTTTGTGTATATACTCTACTTGTATATATGTATATATATATATATATATATATTTCTTAGGCCTGTATTTTACTTTACCTACAAATATTCATAACCCAACAGTATAGTGTCTTTCGTTCATGTAGAAATGGTCTTAAGCCTTGTGTTGTTGTTTTTATTAGTCACTAGTAAACTTCAGTATTTTTATCATTGCATTAGTTAAAAATCTTGGTGAATTTAAAATAACAGATTCTTGTATTTTATATTGATGTGAAATTTTCCGGAATCTTCTGTGTCTTATCTACGTGGGTGGTTGTAATACCTTAATTTCAGGAAAGAAAATTCAGAAACATCATGTGTACAGAATCATATAAGTTATTTTGTACCACTTGGTATCAAAAATCTGTGATTTGTGGCCACCAGCGCCACCTGTCAAAGACAATATTTGTTAACGATATGATTAGCTTGGTGTTACTGTTCTTTTTATCCTTCAAAATTCTCTCCTATTACATGGGTAAGTCACAATTTTTATATAATTTGATGTGCTGTATATAGTGATTGTTCTGGGGATTGTTCCTTAAACTGCCTTTCAACTTCAGAATATCTCTGTGTCCAACAGCTTTATGATGTCATCTAAATGTAATTAGTTTTGTACATATACATCATTAACATTGTATTAGTATCATTAATGAAGGACTTCCAATTTATCATTTATCTTGTTTAGTGACCGTTGCTTTTTAAACATTCTAGTTACTTGTGTATTCTAAAATTTTGTTGACTGATTCGTTGACGAAGTGAACGCGAACGTCAAGGTTGCACGATGTTTTAGTTTAGAATTTTTTTTTTCTCTCGTCCATTAAAAGTAAGAAGTTTTGAATATTCTTTCTCCCCATTATACCTCAAATGGTGGTATTTATGGTTTGTAAAGTCAACTGAAATTACCAAAGAAGGACATTAAAATGGTCTGTAGCCAAAAATGTGTGTTAAATAATAGGTATTAAGCATGAAAGTTTAGGAGTTTTTTTGTAGTGGAATAATTTATGGAACTGTATCAATAGGTAGGCACACTACACTTTATAAGCATAAGGAAACAATTTTATTCATGGTGGAACATATTACATTGGTTTGTCTTCTTCAGGACAGAAGCACAGACCAATGTTCTGTCGAAATATGTAGTATGTTCCACCATGAATAAATTTTTTTCCTTATGTTTATTAATCGTTGTGGCCTACCTATTGGTGTATCAGCATAATATGCTTCCTTCCTCAAGTATTATGGAACTGTAACTGCATTTTGAAGAGGAACCAGCACCCTACACATGAATGAACTTCACGTGGTAATAGTTTAAATAAGAACAAGCACTCTACACATGAATGAACTTCACGTGGTAATAGTTTAAATAAGAACAAGCACTCTACAGATGAATGAACTTCACGTGGTAATAGTTTAAATAAGAAACACTCTACACATGAATGAACTTCACGTGGTAATAGTTTAAATAAGAACAAGCACCTTACACGTGAATGAACTTCACGTGGTAATAGTTTAAATAAGAACAAGCACCT